ATATAGGATTGGGGAGAAGGAAGATTTGAGTGGAAAAATCACTAAAAAAAATTAATGGGATGTGTAATTAGAATATATTTCATAATATGAAAAGAAAAAAAACACAGGAATGCCAGACTTATACATAATAAATAACCTTAATGCCACAATCTCATGGTAGATAAACAGTGTATAAATATGAGGATGTATTCATTATTCATGGAAAAATAAATTCCAATGAAAAATTCAGTGAAACTAAAATATTGATGCTAACATACAACAAGCTTCCTACCCAGTCTTTTGAATTATATTATTATAATTATACAAATTATAATAAATTATATACATTTATATACATTTCAAACCTGAAATAATAACTTTACAAATCAAGATTGAATGTCTTGATGAGGTCCATTTTATTCACGGAAATATTTTCTACCAAGAATCTTAACATTCACAAACTATTTCAGTACAAATAAAGGAGGGATCCAAGGAAGACATGCTTTGTATGCTGCTTATTTTAAGCTGAATAATTTTTGACATTTTTGATACATTCAAATTTCAATCCTTTAACCACTTCTTGAAAAGCTATTGTCATATGCAACCAACAATACAGGTAGTCCTTTGACTTTTGACCACAATTTAACTCAACATTTCTGTTGCTAAGTGAAACAGTTGTTAAGTGAATTTTACAACTTTCTTTGCCACAGTTGTTAAGTGAATCACTGCAGTTGTTAAGTGAGTAGCATGGTTGTTAAGCGAATCCGATTGCTGGAATTGGGTATGTCTAGTTTAATGAAGAGAAGGACGAGGGGTGACATGATAGCAGTGTTCTAATATCTCAGGGGCTGCCACAAAGAAGAGGGAGTCAAGCTATTTTCCAAAGCACCTGAAGGCACGACAAGAAGCAACCGATGGAAACTAATCAAAGAGAGAAGCAATCTAGAACTAAGGAGAAATTTCCTGACAATTAGAACAATTAATCGGTGCTTCCAGAAATTGTGAATGCTCCAATACTGGAAGTTTTTAAGAAGAGCCATTTGTCTGAGCATGGGGTTGGACTAGATCAGTGGTTGGATTCAGCCAGTTTGCACCGGTTTGAACTGGTGGCTAAATTTTGCTGCATTTGGAGAACTGGCTGCCTTCCAGAAGTCCAGTCTAGACCTCGGAGGCCTGGAGGAGACCTCCCAGGCCTAGAACGGCCCACGGGAAGTGTGTGGATGCCACTTCTGGAAGTCCGTTCTAGGCCTCGGAGGCCTCCCAGGCTAGAACAGCCCACTGGAAGTGCATAGATGCCACTTCCGAAAGTCCATTCTAGGCCTGCATTGAATAAGAGAACTGGTTGTTCAGGTATTTGAATTCACCACTGGACTAGATGTCCCCCAATGTTCCTTCCAACTTTATTATTATTATTATTATTATTATTATTATTATTATTATTATTATTATTATTATTATTATTATTATTATTATTATTATTATTATTATGGATCATCGCACAGTCAGCCAGATGTTCAGACTGGATTTGGCATTTTGTCTACCTATCGAGTCCTTACCAAGGACCTGGAATAGGCAGATGTGGATGTTTGATGGTATTACAGATATCGTCGCAGGATGGAAGCAGTTCCTAGTAAAGCCGCCTTTTGCAATTGACTAATGGCTAATTTGTCAATGCCAATGGTGTTCAAGTGGTGCTCCAGTTGTTTTGGAATTGCACCCAAGGTGCCTATTACTATTGGTACTACCCTTGCTTGCTTATTATTATTATTATTATTATTATTATTATTATTATTATTATTGTTGTTGTTGTTGTTGTTGTTGTTATTGTTATTGTTATTGTTATTACTATTACCATTATTACTATTATTACTATTACTACTACTACTATTATTATTATTATTATTATTATTATTATTATTATTATTATTATTATTATTATTATTACTTTCAGCAGCCTGTTAGACAAAAAAGCAGAGATCCACTTGTGTAAAAATCCTGAAATACTATAGGAATTTAGTTTTAAGAACAGTTTATCATGTACTAGCTTTTCAGAAATCTATGTAAATTACATCTACAGTTTTGCCTTGATCAAGGCATGTAGTCCAAATATTTTTACAAAGCATATAGTAGGGATGGAAGCCATTTTTGCTTAAACTGGGTTAAGTTCTGTTGTGAATATATATTATTAATTTTGCAATTATTATTATTATTATTATTAATTTAATTTATATTACTGCAGGCTCCAAGTTTAATTTCCCAGTCTGATTTTTTTCAGATTTTTTAATTATTATTTTTATAAATTAGAAGACAAACATGCCTTATATACTTTACTCTTCCTATTTTTCTCACAACAACAACACTATGAAGTGGGTTGGGGTCAGAGAGAGTGACTGGTCCAAAGTCCTGCAGCTGGCTTTCATGGCTAAGATAGGAATCACAATATCCTAGTCTCTGGCCAGTGACCTTAATCATTAGATTATTGGGAATGCATCTCTTTTCCAATGTTGTGCTAAGTTTATCCTTGGCATGAACATATATCTTAATATGATGGGATTAACTTTTTTATTATGTTTTGAAACTATGCCTAATAAGAAGAATTGAGGTTTCATTTCCAGTATTTCTGAGCGTTTTTTTAACCTGTCCACCAAATATAGTAAAATATTTCTTCTATCAAATAGAATTTCCAGCATTTATTATCACATGATTTATCTAACCTGGCAATTATTGACAGAGTTGTATACCATCCTATACAACGTCTACAATATCCTCCTTTAGAGTTTTTTGTTGTAGCAAAAATAACTAGAATTCCTACCTTACATTCTCCAAATTAATTTAAATATATTTAAAATAGAATTAGATTTAAAACTATAGTCAATGGAAAGAAAATTTGCAATAATAAACATATATATACAAAGTGATTTTTCAGCACGAAAGAAGCAATGATTTATTAAATAGGAGTTAAACTACAAATTATTCTTTCTTTCTATTAGAACTTACCCTGCATTGTTGCTCTTGTTGTAAATTCCAATCAAATTAAAAAAATGAGCATTGCAGAATTACTACTCAGCTTTTCACAGTAATATAAATATATATTTTCTCGTACTATAT